CCTTTGGAAACCTGTCAAGCCCCGCTGCGATCATGGGTAACTCCAAGGTGGCAGGTCACGGGAGGACTGTGATGGGAGGTCTGGAGAGAGCCATCAAGAACATGGATAACATCAAGGCCACCTATTCGGCACTCAGTGTGATGCACTCTGAGAAATTGCATGTGGATCCCGACAACTTCAAAGTAGGTTTGCGAAAATAAAACTAATATTTGCATGATGTAAATATAGAAAACTGTTGTGCTCATATTATGTTGAATAATCTTTATCGAAAAACAGCCACCTAATAGATCTCTTGCTCTACAGCTTCTGGCTGATTGCATCACCGTGTGCGCTGCCATGAAGTTTGGCCCCTCTGGTTTCAATGCTGACGTCCAGGAGGCCTGGCAGAAGTTTCTGAGTGTCGTCGTTTCCGCTCTTGGTAGACAGTACCACTAGATTCTCATCACCAATGAACACCAGCTGTATTGCAGAAGATTGCGGGAGCTGTTCACACAAAGATCTAACTCTTATAAAATAAGATCAATAAAATATTGTTAAAAGCACTTTAAAGTTGTTTGCTTCCATTTATTCCAGAAAACACTGACCAGCAGTTTATATGACCAAAAGAAAACTCTTAAAAAAGAAACATGTTCTAGTTGACAACTTAGGAAAAGAATCCTGTTCTTAACTTTTAGCAAGTTTTTCGACTTGACTTAATGAGTCAGCAACCAGTAAGCCTTTCAAAAACAGTTATGATAGATTTGCACACTGTGGGTGTTAACCGCTTGAATTCATTGATAAAAGAAATAAAATGTATCACAACCTCCAGTGGCTCTAGTATCAAAATAAGCTGGCACTCTTCGTTATTTTTATAAATATATAATTGTTTTAGTCAGTTAGTTTCTTTGTTTGCAAATTTACTTAGGCCTATATACTCTCTTATACAAAAATAAAAACAAGTTCCATGCTGAGTTATACTGAGCCAACTCTTTGAGTTAACTTGTTAAACTTTTGCTGCTGTTTTTTCCCAACTTGACAATTTTGTTTTGACATAGCCTAACTTTTGACTCCATTAATTACGGACTGATACTAAGATATAAAAAAAGAATCGAATGTTAAGATGACATTTAAATAAACTGCGCAACAATATTCACTGGCGTGTGTCTTGCAGCCTGTCACTAGAGCTGGAGCAGGAGCAACATTTTAATAGATCTATTATATTTCCTGAGCTGTTGCCCGAGGTCATTAATGCTGTTACCGTAAATCCTGACAGTGCTACTGCAACAATGCAAATTCACTTGTAGGTTTATGCTTTATAGTACTTTGGTATACTATTCTGCTCTTGGCTCTTCCCTTATATCCATTAGGCTTGAACGCGCCCCTGCATAGATTTGCTTACAATGCGACCGAGTGGTGAATTGGTCTATATTATTTTCACAATGTTGTTGGAATTTGTTTGTGGTAAAAGAAACTGGGGACTGTATGTTTTCGTTGTTACTTTATTACCTGTCTTTTTGTGTAGTGTTATATTTACAACAGAAATTACTTGGGTAAAACCATGGGGACCCCGCATCCTTTGTGCTTTAGTTTTAAATAGCCTAGATATAATTTTTAATACAGGAGATGTTTAAATAAAAAAGGTTATAATCCATAAATCCTAAAAGTTATAATCCATAAATTGTCGTTTCCATGATTGTCCAGCTCCTATGCTGTCAATATAAAAAGGCACATTAGACTGTGCCTTTAATCAATTGCCATTAGGCACACTCTCAAAAAAAAAAAAGATGGGTCCCGGTGGCCATAACTATGTACTCACTTCAGAAAATAAGTACAATACTTATTGTATTCATGTTGTATTTCAAAACACTTTTGCTGCTATTGAGGTGGGAAACGGGTAAGGTTGGGGACAGGTTTGGTGGTATAGGTAGGTTTAAGGGTGGGTTAAGGTGTAAGGGATGGGTCAACAGTGTAATTATAAATGTAATTACAGAAATTAATTACAGATGTAATTACATGCAGGTATTTTGGGAACTTTATTTTAATGTGTCCTTGTTACACGTACTTACTATTGTAATAACAATAAATTATGCATAATTACACGCAACTAACTCTAAACCAAACCCTCATTCTAACCCTAACCATACAGTAAATGCAATACATTAATATGCAATTAATATTACTCAGCACTTAAACGTATATCTTCAAACTTCTCTCCTCTTCCCCATTAAGTAACAGAGATATTGAATTTATAATCCATATTGTTTGAATTTTTGTTTAATCATTACTTGGGTTTATGCATAAACATATACCCCCAAAAAATTAAGCTATGATGCCATGACTTTATATCACTTTTTCATTTTAAGTAATGTAGGAAATATGCTTCAAAGACTGGGGGAAAAAATCTGTAAATTACTTGCTGATGTGCAAGAAAACCAGCCATGTATTGGACCCGGAAATAACGTCTCTCTCTCTCTCTCTCTCTCTCTCTCTCTCTCTCTCTATATATATATATGTATGTATTAGTGCTGTCAATCGATTAAAAAAAATTAGCAAATTAATCTCACATTTTTCTGAAATTAATCGCTATTAATCGCAATTAATCCCACCTAACATTAAAGTTTTTAAATATACATTTATATTGCAATAATTTCTCTATATATATATATATATATATGTATTAGTGCTGTCAATCGATTAAAAAAAATTAGCAAATTAATCTCACATTTTTCTGAAATTAATCGCGATTAATCGCAATTAATCCCACCTAACATTAAAGTTTTTAAATATACATTTATATTGCAATAATTTTGCAAATTAATGTACAAACAACATAAATACAGTATATTTTTATATTTGTTTAATTGCGTCTTTTTTATGACTGAAGGTCAGTATCAATGATACCAATACTGATTTCGCTATAAAATTGCCCCCCCCCCCCCTATTTAACCCTTTGCTTGAACCACTCAACCACCATTAACTATAGCCATTCAACATTACAGTATAATTGAGAGCTACCAATTTTAACACTTATTAGACTTTAAAAAATAACTTCTAATTTAAGTGAACTTAAAACAATCTTCACATAAACCCATTATAATAAATGTCATATTTACCTATGCCCTGCAGCAGAAATATACATAAATTTAAATTTAAATGATCAAACACTAAATTCTAAATTAAATATAGATGAATCCTTAAAGCTATAAAAGTTTTTCTTTCCTCTTTTTTTTCTTTTGTTCTTTGATTAAGGTGATTGTTCTTTGATTTTGGTTCTTTGACATCACAGCAGCTGGTTATTGTTTTGGCTGCTATTTCTTTAAGAGCTGCCGCTGCTGAACGTGAGGCGGATCTTACACGCATCATAATTTCTCTCAACTCTTTTGACCTTTTCTGACCCACTTCAGGTCTTAAAGTCTCTATTAATGAGCCGACGAGTTAAATCGGGTGTGCATTTTTGGGAAACGCACGTGAAACAATAACGAACGATCGTAAAATGACTCGTAGAAAACGCTCTTAAGAGCGAAGACCAATCGTTATCGAGAAACGCAGCCCTGGGCCCAAAGATGCACTTAACACAATCGCACGTAGCCGTGTTTTAAGTGCTACTTAGGAGTCGCTATCCGTTTGTCAAGTGCTGAAATGTCACCTTATAGAATGGCTCGTAATTGTAGTAGCCTACACGCTCGCTTATTGAAATGTTAACTCGGATATCATAACTATTATATTATATTATATTATTATATTTATACCTATAATATTATACTTTACATAATAATATAGCCTATAATATACTTTATATAAAAATGTATATTATAGTATATAATATCTATATAGACTCTAAAAAATGCTGGGTTGTTTCAACCCAACTTTGGGTCAAATATGGACTAACCCAACCGTTGGGTTAAATTTTTACATTAAATTTTTAACCCAAAAGTTGGGTTAGTCCATATTTGACCCAAAGTCAAACTTGGCCACATGTCACGTCACTTTCACATTACTTCTTTTTATTCATTTTTTTGTTAATTTCATTAATAAATTAATTTAAAAAAAACCCGAGTAATAAAGTGTACAATAAAGCACAATCAAAACTTTATGTTATAATCATATTGCACTTGAATAAAGTTAAAGGTGTAATTTTCCGATTGTCCTGCAGGAGACCGCATAAATCTGTCTTCGTACGATGCACTTAGGGCTTTACGATTACTCGAGAGCACTAGTAGATCTACGGTGATTTTCAAGAGCTACTTAAGTTACGATGCTTTTGGGAAACAGACAGTAATATTAAGATCAGTCGTACGATCGTTTTTACGAACTTCTGCTTTATGAACTTAGGCTTATACGAAGCTTTTGGGAAACGCAGTCCTGGTTAGTTTAGGTTTAGGGTAGGAGTGGGGTTAGGTGCTCCAAATAAAGTATACATTTATATAAAATAATTTTTATTTTATTATTATTTTTTTTTACAAATGCATGCAAAACGTTAAATTAAATTAAGGCAAGCAATTGAATGCAATGGAGGACCCTGCACGTCGAAAAGTGAGGCTACCTTGTACCTTCCTTGGGGAACCTTGAGTGTCAAAAATCGACGCCAAGGGGTCCTGACTAAGCGAGTTGGAAGTGAGAACGTGTTGTTTCGTCGGAGGGAGTGTATCGTTGACCCAGCCACTAACCCAACAGCTGGGTAACAGAAAAACTACCCAGCACTAGAAATATTAAAATTTTTGAGTTGTAACTAAACAATGTTGTTTAAAAGAAATTAAATGACATCGATTATCGATTACTGACAGGTCATCAAGGTGCTAAAACATTAAATAAGAGTATAGGTTAACAGATTACCACCGAGAAGCCATAATAAAATGAAAAATATAAAGACTCGTGGTTTAATGTCCAATGAACAATGAAAAGTGTCTGTTTGTCCCTATATAGCCTACTGATTTGGTTCATATCGACTGGAAAAACAGGAAGAAGAAACCTTTTTGATTGTTATAGATTGTATTAACTGCATCTGATATTTTAGCTTTATCATTTGAAGTGCCTCTGTATGCAGATGCACGAGAAGCCCCGGAATGATGAGTTTATCTGTATTTATCAGCGAGGGCTGCAGACAGAGCCGCAAGGAACTTGTCCACGGCCACGTGCACTTCTGCGGTGAAGTCAGCGGGGAAATGAACTGCAAGAGTCACGAGGATGTTATGGGACAGAATCTGAAAAAACAACCCAAAAAGTAGTAAATGAACAGTTAATGCACTATGAATGAATAATTCACATTCTATTTCATATTTTTGATATCTCACATTTAACTCAGTAAAGTGCTCCATACCATGATTTAGGTGTGTCACATTAGGTTAACACCTTAAAAGTAGGCCTACTCAAGTAGGCTAAACGAATTGAAACATTGCACAAACAGCACATTAGCAAGTATCTTACCTTGAAGTTTACTGGATCTAGGTGAACCTTGGCATGGAGATCACTCAAGGAGCTCAGTCCACCAATAAGATCATCCATTTTGACCACAGCATCAGTGATGGCTGCCATCGCATTCTGTGGGAAGGAGAAAAATCAGTTTGTGTTTTTTTTTGGACAAAACTGTTTCTACGTTGATTTATAAGTCTCAAAAATGTATTTAAATGTGGAGCTCTTCCCAGAGCTTCTTGGCCTATGGCGTCGGCCTTACTAGAGATTTTACCCCAGAAGGCCTTGACCACATCTTTATCCTTAGCTGTCAAACTCATTTTCCGATCCTTGTTATTACAAGAGCAGAGTTTTAGGTGTAGGATAAGGGGTCTTTTATAACGTGCAGTGCTGCCACACCCAACAAGCACCAGCTCCACCTCTCAGACTTCAGCCAATAATTACAGACACATTTGGTCAAGTAATTAATTTTGCTGCTTTTATCATCTATCAAAACAGCAATGTAATATATCCTAAAATAATTATCAGAAATACAGTAGGCCTATTCTATCAAACATATTAATTTACTGAAGAATTGTGACAACTCTTACAGTTTAAAAAAAGTTACATAAATAATGTATTGAATGCCTTGGCTGTTTTTGTCTGAAATAATAATTATTAACAACAGATTTATCTGAACAATTTCTATTCAGTTTACTGCATGTATGACACATACTTTAGGATCACCTAAAGGGTGGCGCAACTCAAAAAGAACATCCATGCTTATCACAGTTTATTCAGAACATTTTGAAATGGGAGGAATATGTCTAAATGTCAAGATAAAGCCAAAAGAGATGTCACCCGTTCACCTATTAAAAATTTAAATGCGTTTGTTTTAGTTAATTTAACGTTAATTTCATATGGACGCCTATAGTGTCAATAGCTAATGTGGTTTGGATGTAGATAAATCCAGCATTCACACTTGTTGAAAAAGTAAAGAGATAATCACAATGGTGCACTCTCAGAAAAAAAAAGGTACAAAAGGTGTCACTGGGGCAGTACCTTTTCAAAAGGTACAATTGTGTACCTTTTAGGTACTAATATGTACACTTTAGTTACTAATATGTACCTTTAAGGTACAAATATGGACTCTTTAGGTACAAAGGTTTGCCTTTTTTTCTGAGAGTGTGGAGTGGTCAGATTCCGAGTGCAATACTATTGCGAGTGTCTGGGGCAAAATCAACGTCGGTGAAATCGGACAAGGTAATTTAACAGTGTGTAAATGATGATATACACAACATGTTGTTCATTCAGTGGTGCATTTTGAACAGACATTGGATTTATGTATTTTCATTGTTTCTCATGACAGGGTGCTGATTGTATATCCCTGGTTTGTATTTCGGTTCCTTTGGAAATCTATCCAGTGCGGCTGCAATCCTGGGCAATCCCAAGGTGTCAAACCATGGGAAAACTGTGCTAAATGCGTGAAGAACTTGGATGGCATCAAAGGCACCTACTCTTAGCTCAGCCAGCTGTACTGCGACAAACCTGTCCTGCTCGAGATCCCTGCCTCAATTCAATCATGATTCAATGCATTAAAGATGTCAAAATGTATGCCTACAGACTAATAAAGCACTTAATTAGTGGGATGGACTTTTAGTCTTTTATCAAGTCAGTTAAATGTGTAATAGGTGATTGTCTTCAGAAACATTTTTTGTTATGCTGGTTGAAAGTCTCTTCACATCCCGATAGCAATCATTAAGTTAAGTGGTCTAAATGTATTCATCTGTATTTATATATTTTGTGGAAGGCGTAGGACCAAGAAATGTTCGTCCAATCAAAACGCTCGGTCCGAGCGTTTTAATAAGCTTTCCTACCTGCCTGTCAACTTCTGTATCTGCATACCTCTGCGCACCCGGTTCGCGCAGACAGGACACGTCATCAGCGCGTTCACGCACGCTGTGCAGACAGAGTGAGAATGACAGGCAAACATCAACAACCCGATCTTCCTTCCTTCCTTAGCCTTTAACTAAGGACCGTCACATCAGAAAAACGCAGATGTTCTAGGAGTATTCGATCATTTCCTTTTACAAAGCCACTTAGCTTCGGAAATGGGTATACAACAAACCAAAAGAGAACCTGATTTTAACCGCTACAATAACCTAATTTATGTATAAATATTAGGTGATTCCATAGGCGTAATTTGCGGGTGGGACATGTCCCCACCACTTTTTGCCAGGGTCGATATTGTCCCTACCACTTTTAGAAAGTAATTGAAAAATATATTGCGGAAGGTAGGCTAAAGGGAAAACAAAATCAACAAATCATTCTTCATAATCTAATTAGGGTGCTAAAAAAATTTTTTTTGACTCATGCATGCATAACACGTGCAGTGCAATAACGATGTGATTTGCAGCTGTCGCACTTTTCGTAATGTCATTAGGCTACAGCATTTTATTTTAAAAATGGAGAGCTTCCTTGTGCTAAGTATAGGCCTGCCCTCTACTAAAGATTTTTCTAGTCAACTAGTCGCACGTTATATTAAATTGATTAATATAATAATATATTAATTATTAAATATATAATTTATAAGCGCCATACTTCAATATAGGCTATAGGCAGGCGTATTAGGCTAGAGCCTATTCCGCTCTCAAGCTCGCGCATAAAGCAATTGCCTCAAAGCACCGGCAAAGTGCATAAAGTCGCACTTCTGAAAAATAAAGTCAGAACTGCGAGATATAAACACAATTCAGACTTTTTTTGTCAGAATTGTGAGATATAAACTCGCAATTGTGAGATATAAACTCGCAATTCTGAGAACATATCAGTCTTTTTATCTCGCAATTGTGACTTAATATCGTGCCATTCCGATTTTATATCTCACAATTGCGAGTTTATATCTCACAATTCTGTGAACAAAAAGTCCGAATTGTGAGATAAAATGTCGCAATTACCTTTTTTTTTCTTTCTTTCTTTTAATTCAGTGGAGGAAACGGGCTTCCATAGAAACGGACTTCCATACCTTATGCTATGCTCTCTCTTTTTTTTTGATTCCTCAGTGTTTGCTAAATGTTCTGTAATTTATTAGTCATTATATAGCCTAATACAGCGTGTAGGCCATGCCTCATCTTATTCGTTTTTGTTAATAACGTTTTGTAAGCTAGTTTG